GCTCGCGAGCCATGGGTTGCCGACCCCTGACCTAGCCCATTGATAACACGGTACTTCCAGATTGGATTCGGCCTGACCCTTTTAGCATTAAGGTACGTAGCATGACGTCTTTTCCAGTTTGCTTTGTGCATATTTCTAATTAACTCTGTTTTAAAACTTGTAAGCCCTGATTTCCTCTGTTTTCCGATGTTCCACCATGACGCCTCTGGGTCACGTTGGATCCCTCTATAGAACAAATGCTGTAAGGTTTGCAAAAGTTGTTTGGTTTACTTTTCATCGGTATTAAAGCGTCGTCCGTCATGGCCTCTCTGTGGCTTATTCACCATACGTACAGGTTCCAGCATGTTAGTTTCCGGTCACTTCGATGAGATCGTTTAGAAATTTTCGCACGCGACAAATTTACTCTGCTTTGGTTTTCTAAACCTTACGTCTTGCTTTATTTATTTTTGTTGCGCTGACACACTCTTATTGCATGATGCCGGTTTGGAGTAGTTGTATTTGTCTAGTGAACGGTAGCATGTGAATTACTTGGCTTTAGAATCCGTTTTTCTTGGATTATCTGTTGCGGTTATAATTACGAATGTCCAGGTTTTCTAGTCGTTAACTCGGTCGCAGGTAGACCGGTTTTAAGAAGCTTTAGAATTACTCATAAATTACCATCGACTATGGATGAAGGGTTTCATTACCCTTCTCTAATTTTGTTCTTAATGCAGAAAACGTCGCTATCTGACGATGCTTAGTATTCGCCAAGATTTTTGGCTACGCTTATTTTGGCTTTTATGAGTTTTTATTCACATCTCTGCCGTACCAAGGATAAAATAGTTCAAGTGAATTGCCTTTGTGTAAAAAACGTTACTGGTACACAAACAGCAAACTGACTTCAGGAAAGAGTCCTTCAGGTCCAGCCTGGTCGAGTCTACATAGCGGCATATTGTCTATCATTCGACTGTTGTCGTGCAACATACTCCAACATTTTCCACGCATTCATTAACCGTTGTCCCGTTCATAACTGCAGTCCATAACATCGTACTTTTCCAGATCATAAGACGATTATTCTTAGATACTGAAACTTCTGTGAGTGTCTTTTTCCTTCGAAAGTGGTAACAGCCGGGCAAATAACCATTCCTGCGCTACCCCACAAAGCGTCCACAAACGCAAGTTAGTACAGTCGAGAGCAGATCTTTCGCGTGGCAATACTCGACGTTTCCTGAGTTGATAGTATGCGTGAGAAAATAAAGCTGTTATTATCTGACTTTGCTGATAACTGTTGCCGCTGGCATGCGATTTAGAAAAGAAAACAGATGGAGTTTCAATTCGTTGCTGCTAGACGTATCCCTATTGTACGTAGTTCACCTTTATCTTTCTTAACTTTTAGAAGTTAGCGTTGCATTATTTAATTGTTAGTAGGCGAATACAAGTTTGCATTTATACTTACGTTATGTTACAACTCCTCTGTTCATTTGGATGCCTTTTCATGGCTTCTCTTATATTCGTTAGCAGTACGTCAGTGTGCATTAGTATTAAAAATTCCGGCACTTAGTACGCTCAGTTTCTATTGGTTGCTTGGTACTTTGGTCCCTGACGTCATACACATTTATCATTGGCGGCCTGTACAAACCACCATCGCCTGTTGTTGAGGGTCGCCTTTTATTCTCTTTATCTACGCGTTCAAAATCCTTGTCTTCTAGAAACATAGGAGAATATTTTTAGCAGAAAAATGAATGCCTTTTTAATGTGCTAGTTTGCATATCCTGTTATTTGTCCGCTAATATGCGCTGTCCATGAAACTCCAAGTACCATCACACCGGTGTAACACGGTCCATTAATTAGCTTTTTCGGACTATAAATACCTAACCGAACCTTACGAACTGACCTTGCTCAAACAGTTGCACCTTTTTCTTTTGTTAAATGACTTTTCTAACCCTACCTGCTATACTCCATTTGACTTACATTAAACGACTGAGGATGAATAGCTGAAAACGTTTGTTCCTCCAGCGCATCGTCTCTCTCTCTCTCTCTTCTGGCATGCAATATCATTCACCATGCATTGAAATCTAAGTGAGTGCCTTCTCATATCTGAAATGCTGTTGGCTGATCGAGTCTCCAAACGAGCGACTGAAATGTCCCCTGCTCACTAATATGTTTTGGATGTCCGCTTGTCCAACTGTCTTTGGAGTCACAACATAGAGGTCAACTGCATGCATAAATCCTCGATTTCTTATTTCTTTCTGCCTCTGAAACAGGGAGTGCATAATCAAATTGATGTGACCCGATGTCATTCTATTTAACAAAAGGCGACTTTTACAACACGCTTTCCTACTGCCAGCATTGTAAACAATTTTTCTGGCTCTAGACTGTTTTCAGTCTGTTCCGTGAAAATTCACTCGAAATTCTGTCATGTCTGTCATATGCCCTCCACCAACTGCACAAAAACAAATTATGCAGCAATATAATTAAAATAAGTACTAGGTTTGAGTTGGAGTCCCAAGAGACGTAAAGGGAATAATCGAAGAGTAAAATACAGTTACTCGAACGATCCTTTGTACAGAAAAATGGTGGTGGAATTTAATTAAAATGTGGTAGTTGTGATTAATCAAAATAGAATGTAGAAGGATGTACAAGGTCCTACATCTACGGCTTTTGAACGGACCAGCATGCAAGGGAGTCCGTTCCATGTTCCATAAACTATGTTCCAGAAGGCGTTCCGTCAGACGTCTATATGGACCGAATGTTGTCTAGGAGAAGGACTCGATGATAACTCCCTCGGTTTTTGTGGTTAAATTACTTCATCTTAATTCATCATTCCGTACTGGGTGAATATTTTAAAACGTTAGAGCATAAAAGACGACAGATTCGAAAACTCACCCTTTAACGCGTCGTTTGAGTGATTCTGTGTTTTACTATTTCATAGGTGACCTCAAACTGGTAGTTAT